TCTTTCTTTCATGGAGAACAACTCATAGTGTCTTTGAAGTATAGTACCTCATTTGAGCCTTACATCTTTAGTATCCTTATGAGTTACTCTAATGACATCCCATATTTTCTTGGTTGTTGAGCAGCTGTAGAACTTGTTTTGGTGTTTAGTTGTAATATGTTGTAGTTTTACTAAGTGTATTATTCATTCTCAAGCATGGTAATAGTAACATCACCTTGAGTGACGATTCTCCAATGGTGATATTAGGTAGATTTTAATGAACATCTCCATTCTATCCATCCAATACAGGTAATCCTCTCCACTAAAGGCAAAAGGCTTTGTGAGAGAGGCTTTTTCTACTAGGTACCATCCTTCACTACTTTCCATAGTGGATCTTTTTTCTTTAGCATGGTTAGATGCTCAACCCTATCAAAGACTAAGCTTTAAGACAAAACCGTGAAGAAAAGATAAATACTAGAAGGAGGATGAAGCTGAATAATATGTGTCAAAACCTCACACTTTTTACCTAGTGAAGTAGTAACACTAGTTAGATGGAGTGTGAAGAGAAGTCAGACGAAATACTAGGTATTTTTATACAAGTTCGTCTCAATTACCGATTCTATGTCCAGTTCTCAATCCAACCAAATTGCGTTCTACTATCTTTCAACAAGTCATTTCTATCTCAACCCTAAGTATTCTTTGACTTGTCTCTTCAAGCAACTACCTAAGTATTCTTTTCAAAACAAGCCTTTCTAGGCTTAACAACCAAGTATTCTTTTTAACCAAGCCTCTCCAAGCTCAACCAAGTATTGTTTTACAAACAAGCCTCTCCAATCTCAAACTTATAACAATGGTTATGAAAGTTACAAGGATGTTGTGTTCGTCTCACTTAGACTTTATACAACCAAAATATTGCCATAAGCTTTTACAAGAAAGAATGAAGATTATACATAAATATAATTTACAGAGAGTGTATGTTTCTTTACAAGTGTATATTTGTTCTGTCTTCTTTCTTGAGTTTCAAATTTTCTTATATAGTAGCTTGGAGAAGAAGACCGTTGCAGCATTTTAAGTCTAGCTCACAAGTTTGTTTCATCTATCTTCAACATCTTTTCTTGTGATGAAAGGTAAATGTTGACTCATTTAATGTAAGCATTAAATGCATTTCACTAAATGGTACCTCTTATTTGATCAAGAAAGCTATGTTAAACGATTTTGGCAAACGTACCAATCACACAAGTAGCTAATAGAAAGGGTTTTGTCTTTTTTTCTCAAGGAGTTGTGTAATAGACAACAATGAATATAATTTACAACTAATTTAAACAAAATAATATTTCCATAATTTAAGTTTTGGTTTGTAAAAGTAGTAAAATTATGCCGGAGAAATTAAAACTCTTTTTGGTAGTTTAGATTAGCAAATGGTATAGAATGTTCATGTTAGTATTAGGTTTCACCGAACCTTGCTCTCATGCATGTAATCATACAATCTTCTTTCACATCTAATGTTAATGTCAACCCATTAGTTTACTCAAATCCTAATTCCTTAAAAAAAAAAGCCTAAGTTCTCTTATTAAGCATCAATGCTTTGACTACTTAATAAACAAAATTGCATTCATAACAAGGGTTTAAAACAACTAATGAGTTAAGTTCTATCCCTAGTTACAAGCTCCATTAGGTATTTTGTTTCAGTTCAAGATTACAAAAGATATTTTCTAATACCTTATGAATCAAATATCAAGCTATGGTTAATTACTCCACAACAAGCATTAAGAGAAAAAACAAATACTAATATTGAAATGGAAATACACACACGAGATTTTAGTTGGTTACATTTAATTCCAACAAAATGGATTTAGACCTTCATTATCATGAAGAGCACAAAAAGAAAATAAGATGTATAGTGGATGTGGAGAGCCAAATAGAGGATTGGAGATTTTTAAGCAAGCCCCTAGCAACACCCAAAGAGCCCTTCAACTCGTCCCAAAAGTGCTATGCTCCCAGAATTCCTTTCATCCCTCGAAGAGAAAGGGAAAAAGTAAGTGATAATTGTCATGTCATAAAAATTTCGTCTAACGCAAGTTAAGTCACATCAAGCACAAGTATCAGGACACAAAATAAAGATTTTCTTCCATGATCACACTCAAACGCAAGTATAGTGTCGCTTGATGCTAAAAAGTATGGTGCTCTGTGTCTGAATAGCATTAGGTGTAGGTAGAGTGACGCCCGACATTAGAAGCCTTCACTTGCTCTTCAATTTCTCTACTTTCTTGCTTCCAAGCACTTTCTGTCACTTGGTGTGCTTCTCTAGTTTCCTAAATATATGTTAGACAAAAAAACTAGGAATTAGTGGTATAATTAAATGATAGTAACCAGTATCCAATTAATTACAAAAAATCATTAAAAAAAAATTAAACATTTTAAAAGCTAGAGAAGAGTTGATTTTGTTAATACAAATGGTTAATAATTCTAGGTGAAAATTAACATTATCAAGCTACTTATCATTTTTCCATACCAAACAGAGCTTGTAGAAGCAATGTCAACACAGAGCAATTTTTTCTGTTATTTCAAGGATCTTCGTCCTTAGTTTTAATGGAAAGCATGACCTTAATTTCTTTAACAGATTTGTGAGTTTCAAAAATATTTTCTACTTCAATCTATCAAGGAATAGGACATTCAAATGAATTTTGTCATTAGTCTCAATAAATAATGAACATTTAACGTATATGAGACAAATTGTATGTTTTGCCTAAATTTACATCGTCTTACAGACGATTTGTATCTTACATTTCGTCCAATAACATTTTCAATAACATTTTCTCTTGTAAAAACGTTTTGTTTGTTAACATTAAAACTCCAAAACTTAAGAAATCAAAAATAGTCTTTTAACTTAACAAGAATTATTGAATTTATAATAAAGAGTACATAATTACAAAATATTCAATTACCTATTTTTGGCTAATTATAAAAATAAAGAATCAATCTAATTAATCCTATTATATGCGGTTACTATATTTACATGATTCTAACCACTCTAAATAGATTAAAAATAAACATATTTTATATCGGAGATGATTTCTAGATTTAAAAGAATAATATTCATAAGTTAGATAAATAACATGGTGTATTTAATAATTATAATTTAATATTTATTTAAATCTATTATTAAAAAAAAATCTAAACTCTCTTTCGATTGGTTTTTGGATCTTTCCTGCTCCAATTCAAATATATATTGAATAACACCATAGAAATCATCTTCTTCCTTCCCTTATATACCTCGCATCTTTTTGTTATCCATCCTCCGTGCTTGGGTTTGAAATTTTGTATCCACAAACAAAGTACTTGTATCAAGTGCCTTTGAATTTGGACCTCAAGAGATTAACATCAAGTTTGTGTTGTTCACCCCATTTGCCTCATTAGTAACACACAGACATTGTTTACATCATATTATCACCCAAAGTTCATTGAGCGAAACCATTGGTATATAGTTAAGAGACTTGCATATTCTCGAAACCATTCTGAAAATTGTCCGTATACGAAAAGAAACTTCCTTCTTGTTTTCATGAAGTTATATTGCAAAAATACATTGAACAAATGTACCTATACTTTGTGAGTACTTAGGGCTTTAGGGTTTAGGGTGATTAATACGCATCCATATGAAAATGGTGATTACTTACTCGAAATACAGCTTAGCCACATTGCAATTGACGAGAATATATATATAAGATCGG